TTAATTTTCCAAATTACTATAAATCTATCTGTATATTATAACGAAAAAAAAACAAATATAAATATATATATTTTCTTGTTGCTTATATTAAAATAATCTTACTTGTAATTAATTGATCTAATTTTTTTTCACTTTCGATTAATTTTCATAAATTTAGAAAGTAAGAATTAATTTATTTTTGCTTTGTGTGTACTCAATAAAAATTTCCCCCTACTCTTTTAACTTCGAATTAATATCTAATTTGTTATTTTCCAAAAAATCATTCAAAATAAGTGATAATATTGATTTTAAGAATCAAATTTTTTCGATTAAAATCAAAGACAGCTTGATAAAATATATAAATTTACTAATTGAATTCTGCATTAATTTATAATTTGGATTATTAAAATTTAAAAGTTAAAATGATAGTCTTTTTTTGCTTGATAAAATTATAAAAATTGTTTGTGCTTTACACACTTTTGAATATATATGAGTTATTGTTAATTTATATTAACTTCTGGCAAGATTGAAGTGTGTTATTTGAGAGAAAAAATAATATTACTTTGAAGAAGAATTAATTAATAGAATTTTTACAAGATTTATACTAATGAGTGAATAATATTAACTTCCCTTAAAATTTTTTGAATAAATATTAATACAGACCTAATGTTTTCTGTTTGTTAAGCTTTCTATTAAAGTAACATTAATTGAATTAAAAAAAGTAAAAAACTTCAAGCAACAAATCTAAATAAAGTTTATATACATAATTTTAAATTACACTCTAATATAAATTTAACAATAAGCATTTATTTTCCTACATTAATTGAATAAAATATCTTGATTGATATTCAAGCAAGTGGAGTAAACGAATAAATTTCAATTTCTCTTTAAATGATTAGCAGTATAACTAAATATTATAAACGAACGAGTGAGATTATATCTCAAAATTTTAATTATTTGCTTGGTTGTGCATTAGAAGAGCTCTTTATCAAAATATTAAAAATTAAGACTTTGTGGTCAAACTATAAATTTTTAAAACTCCATTTACAATATTTTCATAAATAATTTAAACTATTTAAAAATGACTACGAAAAAAAAAAAAAATTTAATTAGTTAATTAAGATAAAAAGGGTTAATTTTATTTAATTCACTGTTTAATTATTTTGTCTGATTTATTATTATACTTGTTAGTGTATTTATTCTTTAATTCTTAAAAATACTTAGCTTGTTATAGCTTTATATTATCATTGTCACCTCTCACTCCAGGAGAATAATCTAAATTTATTTCTCTATTATTTGCTTTTGTGGTAAATTGCTTATTTTTTTTCTTGATGTCTTCCTTTTAATTTACTTTACTTAATTTAATTGAGTGCGTCTCTCCTTATTTTTTTTCACTATTTTAGCAACTCTGATAAATATATCTTTCAATAAAATCATCTTCTTTATTTAAATCATTTGCGAAATGCTATACTTAATTTAATTGAGTACTAGAACTAAAACCTTCTTTCATCTGCTAGTTAATTTTATCAGGTTAGTTTTACTGTTTGAAGAAATCCTATTTTCTCATTTACTTTTAATTAACCTACTAGTCTTTATGTGCGTAAGATTATTGGGTTACTATATTATTGTAATTATTTTTTGATAACTCATATAAACCGGTTTGGTTAGTATTTTCTAAAAATTAATTTTTTTGTGGATTTTACTTTGTAGATATTAATTAAGAGTCTTAAATAGCAGAATTATTTGCGCTTTTCTTTTTGAATTGCGATACACCAAGAGAAATATGAATGGGAGCAAGAATATCTGAAGTCGTATTAGAAGAAATATTCATAGTATTTGAATTTTAATTGATGTTTTCATCTTCTTCATATTACTCGTTTTCATCAAAATTACTTGAATAAATAGCTTGTTACTTCTAGTAATACTTTGGTGGACTAGACTCTATATCTTCAGAAGAACGACTCATCGATCTATACCCTTCTCTAGCTGACTAAATTCGCTAGGTGGATTATGTTGATTTTGACATTATGTCTTTGCTTTTTTAACTGCTCCTTTTTTATAAAGATACAGGATTGCTTTGCTCTATATCTTAATTTATATAGTTTTTTTATTGAGATTACACACGACTACTGCTCATATGTTAATGGTCGTTGTAATTAGATGGAGATATAGATAAATTTTTGTTATTTTAATTTATGTATTTTCTATTATTATCCTAATTGTGGGAAGATAAGGTATTGTTAATTACTATTAATTTATTAAAACTCTAATTTTATAAATTAGAAGTTGAGTGATTACTATTAAAGCTATTGAAATTGCGCTATTGTCTATCATTTTAATAATTTTCTTTGCTTAATACATTATTTTATTATCTATGTAGATCCACATATGAATTTTCTGTATATTTTTTCTTAGGTTTAGAATTAATTTAAAGTATTTTTTTTTGTTTTTTAGTCTTTTTTTTTAACGATTAATCTCTCTCTGTTTAATTCGTCTTATATTCTCTGTAAGTCTTGTTAGTAATCGTATCAAACAAAAATTTTGACTGCTATGTATAAAAATTCTTTAATTTATTTACAAGCCTTTAATAGCTCTACTTTTCATCTGAACCTATTACTAGAGGATGGAAAAATTTTCTATTATTTGATGAAGTTGATCTTGACATTCTTTGTTATTGGAGCTTATTAAAATAATTCAAATGAGGCTATAATCTAAGAGATTCATTAGTTTAAGTTCCCGCTTCTTCTGTATCAACCATTATATGTTGCAGTTAAATAGCGTTTTCTTCAGAAGAAATAGCATAGTCACTTGGTTACTATTTTATTCTATCTGAAGCATTCAAAATATTTGGACTTGCATTCCCTTTACTACTTTAATACTCATTCGAAGTAGTGCTATGCGACTAAAGTCCAAACTTACCAGAAATAGAAAGCATGTTTTAACCAGAGCTAATACGGAACTGGGGTGTATTTTCTATTTTATTTGCGTTCAGGCTGAATCTCTGATACTAATCTCTTATCTATTACTCAGACAATTATTATTAATCATTACCATCTTTAAAGATTTGCTAAGCTTAATTGATATTTGTTTACTATTATTAATTAAATTATTATTATTATTATAACTATTATTGAATTAACTGCTGCTATTGTAAGTTTATAGCCTGCTATTGTTGGATTTACTACTATCTTAAAGATAGCTTTTATTCGTGTTCTATTTGCTTTTAAATAGCAAATTACTGTGAATTTAGAGCACTCTTTTCAAAAATGTCAAGTGCTTGCTCAAAATTTTTAGCTGGAATGTTAGTTTCACTGTAACTCCTAAATTTATGATTATTTCCAAAGGTATTTTCACCATTGTGAATAAGTTTCTAGCTATTTAGAATTTAGCTTTATTGAAACTACTTTAATTGATTAATTTGATCTGATTTATGTTTTTGAGTGATATTATTATGCTATGAGTTTAAGTGTGATGAATTTTTCTTTTCCTCAATCATTTCATGTATGCTTTTTTTTTTATTTATTGACTTTGAAGAGTTCATGATCTATTCTTCTATTCTAATATAATTTGCAGTATCTTGAATAAAATTTTGCTATTGTAAATGTCTTTATCTCATTTAGCTGTCAATACTTATATTACTTATATTATTTTGTAAAGCGCTCTACTCATCTCTACTTGAAATTCTCTGAGAAACAATTTAAGGAAGACCTAAATAGACTAAATTAATGTCATGTTAACTATTTTGTTGATTTTATTGATTTAAAAACACTCCTTTTGATATCAACTAACTTTCTGGGGTAGGATAAATATAACTCTCAACAGGACGAGTATATTAATTAATGCTTTACGTGATGCCTTAATTTTCTTGCTATTTATTGATTAATTTCTATGATATTTTAAGAAAGTTTGGCTCTCCTCTTTTTTCGCAATTTGCGCTTTCTTCTAAATGATGATTTGAAATTAAAGATTATATCAATTCTTTCTTTTCTCTAAGCAAATGGCTAATGTTATCATTCTTTTACTTCTATTCATCCTATTGCTTTTTCATCTACTTCTACATCTTGGATTGATCTAGTTATTATTATAAATCATGATTACTTCTTACTAAACTTAAGTACATAAATGTTAATTCTTTTTCGTGTTTTTTGGTTATTTAACTATCAATTATACTTTTGAAAAAAATATCAGTTGTTTTTAAAAGAATCTAAAAGGTAAAATATAGATACTATTTTAAATGTTAAACAATTGAAAAATCAATTAAACAATCCACATTTAAAAATCAGTAACTATTAATCGATCACTTATTTATTTACATTATAATTTTAAATAATATTATAAGATATATTTTTAAATGATAAATAGTTCTAATCAGAAATAATAGATCTATCTAACTATAAAATGAGCTATTACAATTTTTATTACTTGAAGATATCACATTCAAACAAAAAATTATTCAAAATATTATTTTCCAATGCAGAAATTAGATATTTTTATACTTTTAATTTATCATTAAATGACTTTTAACTAGCTCTAATTTATAGAAATTACTTTATAAAAAAGCCGAAAATATCAGTCTTAAAATATTTTTTTGTTAAAAAAAGAAATAATATTACTAATATTTATGTTTAAAATATATCTTTAATCAAGGATAAGATTGATAAAAATAAAATGGTTCTATAGTTAAATTTATCGTTAAAATTCTGATGAACCACTCTAATTTCAAAATTTGAAATATTTTAGATAACTCAAATATAATTTACAACTTCATCAATCAATCAATAAATTATATAATTAAAATTGCTATTTCAAAATAAAAATCACCATAGAATTAATTAATTAATTACTTTGCTTATTGTAGACATCACCGAAATTTTGATTCTTCATATCTTCACTTAGATTGCAAAAGTTAGCCAAATGATTTAAAGGTACCATACTAAACTAAATAAAATGTTATAAAAAAGCATTATTATTTGGATTAATTTAAAACAAGTGCAAAATTATGTATATTATTCATTTTATAAATCTCTTTGAATGTTTGAAAATATGCTGAAATCAACTGGATTAACTCTTAAAATATAATTTAATTCTATTTAAAATTATGTCAGTTTATATTTTCTATCATTATTAATCCTTTGAAATATAAAAATTTTTAGTTTTATTAATTAATTACTTACTTAATCAATTTCAAATGATACAGTAACGAAATTCATAGCCTATGAAATTTCATCAAGCTATCTGAAATACTTCTCATTTAAATAGCTACGCTTTTCCAACTCCCTATTTATTCTCTCAGTTCTTTGCTCTTCTTCTTTAAAATACCTAAAACTTCTTTCCATTTTCGAGCTGCTTCTTAATTTGCTTTTTATCTATTATTTGTTGAATCCACCTAATTGTATTAAAGAATCGTTCTAATCTTTGACTAAACTCAACTCATTTATTTAAACTCTTGAATTCTTTATTTAGCTTGATAAGTTCCTTTGCTTCTTTGGTGGTGATTGTGAGTTATTAACTCTAATTACGCTTGATTTCATGATCTAATTCCCCTAGTAGTTATATTTAATATCTTCATGTTTCAGTCCTGGTTCATCTTCATTAGCTACAATACGCCCATATTTATTAAGTTTCACTTTCCCCTAAAAATTCCCCATTTCTAATCAGCTTATAATCCTTTCTTGTATATAACTATTAACTTAAAAGTAAGAACTACCTTGTTATTTATCTAAAAACTTCTATATATTATTAGGTATTTATTTTACTTTTAGAAATTAGATTTTTAGTTTCTTTATTTAACTAAAAATAAGCGTTTAGTAGTTTAATCAATACAATTCATAAATATATAATACATAGAAATCTTTCTAAAATTTACTGTTCATTGATTATCTAATCATATATAAACTGCCTTTATTTGTGTTTTTGATTAAAAATAAATATCTACTCTGCAATAATTAATTATTCATAATAAAAATATTATTTTTCGAATTTAATAAAATGTTCTTCATTTTAAAATGACACTCAAATATTAAACTAAAACACTTGAATTTATTGAATAAATTTTTATAATTTATTAAATATCATTTAAGCTACGAAATGATATTATTTATTTTAATTTTATCATTTACTTATTTGAAAATGTTTATTTTAATTTCTTTAATTATTAATAAAAAAATATATAATTTACCTATATTTTTTTATTTTCTTCTAAATCTTAATAATATCAAATATAAAAATAATTTTTGAATTTTGGATTATCTTTCACCCAATTATAATGTATGATAAAATTATTAAAACAATCAGAATAATAAAATTTATTATCAAACTTAAAATTTCATAAATAAAATTATTGATTTAATAAATCATTTTTTAAATTATTATCAATTATTTTTTTAAAAGAATAAATACAAAATAAATTTAAAGAATTTTTCTAAATGCAATTTTACATTAATATTTATATATTTTTTATGAATTTATTAATAACTAAGATATTTTAATTGTGTTGTATAGTAATTATTATTATTATTATTATTATTTTTTTTTTTAAATAAATTATTTGTTCAGTACCGTTTAGATGAAGTTGTAGATAATTAAGGGGAATTTTTGATCAAACTGCTATTCATAGTATTTTTACTAGGAGTTACTAAAAAATTACCTGTTGTTTTCTTAGGCATATAACTTTTTTTACCAGGCTGCAATGAATGAGGATTATTACCGGCTATACTGTTTTTTTTTGGAGGATTTATTATTTCAGAGTAGTCTTATGAAGATAAAAAATCTTATTATCTTATTTAAGAATCTAAATGATGAACAAAGCTGCTAGAGAGATTAGAGTTGTTATTAAAAGCTTGAGTTTAAGAGCTTTATTTGATAGGAAGTTATTCAAAATCACTTTTCTTAAAAATGCCTACTTAGTCAAAATTTCTAATTTCGATAAAATTAGTACCAGGGTATTCTTAAACTAGTTCATAATTGTCGCCTTTACTAACAAAAAAGAAATCTTTTCCTTGTGAGTGAGTATCAACTTGAGCAACTAAATTAATTTTTGTGTTTTAATCTGCTAAATCTAACTAATTTCTGTTTGAAGTGGTCATATTAAATTCTTCTTGCCTACTATTTTTCTTTTAATTGTTATTATTTTTATTTCTTGCCTCTTCTATTTTTTCATATTTCTTATAAACAATACTCACATTTGTATCAATTATATCTTCTATTTTATCATCATCAGTCAGAAAGAAGTTAAGATTTTCATTCTTCTTCTTAAATATGCCAAAAAGCGTTTCTATTTTATTGAAAGTGCTTAGATTTTAGTCTATCCTATCATACATATACTCATAACTTAACTTTTCTATTTTAGCATAGTTAAAATCATTATCATATGGCTCATAATTTTATAGAATTGTATCCAGTTTAGTTTTAGGCTCTACACCCATTTAATATTCGAGTGTTTATTCTCTTATGGGATGCATCTTTTCATATTTAAACTACTTTTTTGTTCTTATAATTTTATCTCTAAGTTCTTCCTCCTTAATATCATCCTTGACCTATTCCTATTTTACAAATGCTGGATATTCTGGCCTCAAAGGATAGTCTAATATAATTGGTGATCTCTCAGGAAATATAGAATCGTCCCTATCATCGATATCCAAATATTAATTTTACTAAAAATTTTAAGCTGGCTACTATTCAAATCTTTAGCCTTCATTAATAATCATTGACCCTAATTTAGTATTGTTCATTCTTTTTCAATATAATTTTCTTTTATTTACTTAATTCAATAGTTTGATTCTCAGAATATTTATTCCTGATATTTTTTTGGTACTTATTCGTTTGTTTGCATAATATTAATTAAATTTAAAATTATAATTAAAATTTTAATAAGTTAAAAATCAATATCACTTTATCAGTCGCAAATCTATCTGTTGGTTGAACAAAATTCAGCTAATTCTATTTTCATAAATAAAAAAATAATTTCTAATTAAAAATGTGAATCAAAAATATTTTTGAATTGATTTTTAAAAACAAAATAATTTTTTAAAAAGAAAAATTCTGATGACTTAATTTGTAAATTCAAATTTATTAAGGACTTTTATTTGAAAATTTATTTTCATCAAATAAATAGAAATTGAGTAAAAAGCACTTGTTTGATTTTAATATTATAACTTTAAAAATAAGTTTGAAATAATAATAATAATAAGAAATACTTAATACTTCCTTCTTTCTTTTTACAGAATAAACAATAAAAAAGATTCACATATATTTATTTTGTGAGCGATTTACATTAATTAAATAAATAAATAGCTTTTAAGGATATTAGATAGATTTTATAAATTAACTGAAGTCTAGCAAAATAAAACATTTCAATTTGAAATTCAATTAGATATTAAAATAATGTCCACTATTCCATGTTATTCAGTACCTCCTCCAAATGAAAAGTCAAAGATATTGAAAAAAATATTGCTTTGGATTTGGATTTGGTAGGTCTTACTTTGTGGAGCTAAGGGATATTATCTTTCAAAGATTGAGTTTTTTTCAGAGTTAGTCGCTCTAGGAGTTCTTTGGTTCTCGTTTAATTCACTAAACTATTGCAATTGCGTTTTTTACATTTTTGTTTGCATAATGAATGGTCTGTTTATAATAATCAACTTAGCAACAAAAATTTAAGATGGAATTGTAATCACTGATTTCTAGGATTAATATTAAAAAATATACATTATACTCTCATCAATAAGCTTCGTATTTTACATAGTAAGCATTTATTTTGCCTTCTAAGCCTACAAAGAGTTCAAGGGAATAGCTTATGACATATTAGTAGCAACTTAAAACCATGAATAATCAATTCTTAGTTAATTTAATTCGCCTCTCAAGTTTAAATCATATGGAAGTAATATGAACTCTGCTAACAAATTAGATTAATAAGAATCTTAGTAATAATTTAATATTGATGAACTAAAAAAATATAAATAAAAATGAATTCAATTAATTCAAACAATTCATGAAACTCTATTTTATTAAAATATAAATAATATTTTAATTAATTATCAAAGTGTATTTTTACTGTAAATATCTCTATTGTTTAGCTTAATAAACAAATTCTGACATTTTATAATAAAAAATCTATTTCTTCCTATATTGATTTTAAAAAAACAAACTTCCAAATGTAGTTAGTATCTTGGTTTTTGTAGCCATCAAAAATAAAAATTATTTTGTATTAAAATTATGTTTTAAATTTTACTTTATGGGATAAAATTCTAAAATAAAATGATAATTTGTTTCAATTTAATAAAATTCAATTAAATAATTTTAAAAACTCTAAATATTATAATAATTAAATATCAAATTTTTAACTTGTAGAAATATTAATTCTTTGAAAGGTTATTAGATTTAGATTTGCTTGATTTATTAATTGATTGATTGATTGTTATTACTAATTTCTTAAAATTTCTATTAGAAGCACACAAAGTAAGATATAAAAATATTAATTCAGATTTATAATAAATAAATAGCTTTTAATAAATAGAAGTAGCAGTATTTATTTATAGAATTCTTATTGTTAAGGTAAAAAAGTATAAATATGATAGCAAACACTGCAAAGGCAATATTTATCAACTTAAAGTAGCAAAATAAGCAAGCTCATAAACTTATACATGAAGTTTAGTTCTTTTTTAGCAAAGAAGAAAGGATTATGAAATGGAAAACCTTTTAAAATCCTAGAATGAAAAAAATATAAGAAAAGCTATCATAGAAATTTAATGAAGATGAAGATAAATACATTGAAAGAAAAGAGCGCAGAGAAAAAGAACTTAAGTTTTTAAAAGAGTATGAAGCATATTAAAAATTAAAGGAAGAATCATTGAGCGAAGTTCCTCCTAATTTAGTCATAAAAAACCTTTACTATCCCCAAACTAATTCAACAGTTCTCCTACTTGGTGTCGAAAAAAGAAATTAAATGCATGCTTCATTTGTCCATGGTAATTCTGTTTTTTAAATCTAATACAATTTAGCTTTAAACTTTTGAATAGCTTTTTTGTTTAATTTTAATTGAAAAATGATTTTAAATTCCCTTTTATCACAAAAAAATAAAAATTTTTTATAAGAAAATTCTAAGTTTTAGAAAAAAATATTAATTTTTAATTTAATACATATAAATAACATAGACTGTATGGTAAATTTAAAGCCTAGCTTGATAACAACTTAGATATCTCCTGATATGCCTTATTTTATTAGGACTAAAATTTAATTTGATTAAGCATGGAGTCGTTTTGTAAAAGGAAAATTTGATTATAAATTTTATGTAAATCCTGATCCTGTCAGCTTATATGACATTATGCTTACAAGTGATAGCATCAATTAAATGATGAGTGGAGGTATTATCAATTGCTAAGATGTTTTTGAAATTGGAAGTTTATTTATATACACAAAAAATCATATTTCTGAAGATTTTGAAGTTGATACTTACCTTACTCCATTGCTTTATTTATATAATAATCCACACATAAAGTGTAATTTAGTAGTTAATGACTATCCTTATCTTAAGTACAGAGAAAATGTTAATAAAAATATTAGTTTGACTGATTTAAAAGATTTACTTGATTAATATAAGCAGGTCATTGAAGAATAAGGTGTAAAAACTATGTTCGATCCTTTGCTCCTTAAACCTGAGCTATTCATAAACCCAAAAGTTGCTTATACAACTGAGACAATTAGAAATTCTTGCTATACTTCGAAAAAAGTATTAGCAGTAGTTGATAGATATATGACTGATGAAATAGAAGAATACTGGAAAAAACTATCAAAAGATCCTTAAAGCATCAATAGATTCTTGTAGGATGATTACTTTAAGTAAAGTATATCTGAATAAAAAGATCAAGAAATCCAATAATCTAAAAACAAAATTGGAGCTGTAGTAACTGAAAAAGGTATTAAAACTGATGATTATTCAGTTAAAGATACCTTCTTAGAATATGTTGAGAAGCATGTTATCCTAGATTTAATGCTTGGAACACATGTAAGAGAGTTTTTTATTAAAAACAAGATATTCCCATTCACAGGAAAAAATTATACTGGTTAAAAAACTATGATTCAATAAATCTTTGTAATGCTTGACCATTTCTATCATCAACACACAAAATCTACTAAAGACTCAGAAGCTCAATCCTTTGATGAGCGTCTTATCCACGGAACTCCAAATGAAACAAAAATTGAATGATTCTTAATATATTAAATTCCTTTCATTTCTATTTTTAAATTTGTTTTATATTTTTATGTAAAAAATATAAGCGTTTTTAATATGTAAATTTTAATAAGCTTTATTTCAAAAAAACAAATCTTTTAATAAAAAGTAAGTTTGAAAATATTATTGAAAAAATTTTCAATAAATTCTATTATTAAGACACTATTTAGTTAAGAAAAACCTACATTTTTTATTTTGTTAAAAAGAATATTTTTTTTCTCATTTACTCTCTCTATAAGTAATTAAGTTATTTCAATATTTGCATTTTAAAAAATAAAAAAACTATAAAAGCTGTGCCTTGCAAAATTTGCAACTTATTTCTCATTTACCACTTGTAAAATAAAATAAAATTTATTTCAAACTTAAAAATTTTTGTTTACTAAAATTAGAAAGAATATGTATGATGAAATAACAAATCATAGATTGTTTTTTTACTATTTTTAAAAATAATTTTATAAATTTATTTAATAAAATACTAAAATGAATTTAATTCTATGTGCTACAATATTAAATTAAATTTATATGTATATATTTTATATTATTTAGCAATAGTAATCTTTTCATAAACCTCCTAATGGTGAGCTTTATACATTGCATGTATTACCAGGAGCTAGAGTAATGTAACCTTTTTGACCCCAGTTAGTACCCCAAGAGTTTTTGACTAGCCAATTTCCAGAAGTATCATATCCAACAAGCAGAACTGCATGATTTATAGTTACGTTTCCACAGTTGTTAAATACTCCTTAAGAATAAGAGCTCCAATTAGTTGCATCTACAAGAACAGAAATAGGAGCTTGATTAACTGCATACTACACTAAATTTGTCTAGTTTCCATTATTTGTATAATAGTAAATAGGATCTTTGGCATAAAAGGCTTTAGGAGGAGAAGCTGAGTTAATTGAACAGTTTCTGTTTTAGCCAATATAGGGATAATTTTATTGGGAAGAAATACCTTAATCCTTTATGTATCTATAAGCAACACTAGGCCATCCTCCTTAGCAACCATAGTTATAGTATTAAGGATTCTTGTAAGTGCAATCAACTAATTCCTATTCAGAATACAAGGCTAGAGAATTATTCCTTAGTAAGTTTACACTTTCAGCCAAAGCAACAGCTGAAAAAGCCCAACAAGAACCACAAGAACCTTAGTTTTTTACAGGACTTACAGCACCTGACTATCTCCAGTCAATGCTTTAGCTAACGTTATATAGAGGTTATATAACTGGAGGTGGTGGATTTTAACAGTTTTTAACATCAGTACAATTTTAAGTTTAATTTGATCCACCGTCTTTACCACCGTTTTAACCGCCATCTCTTTGAAGGAATCTAAGTTTCTCTGCCTAAGTTAAAATAGGATTCAAATAGCTAGCTTCAAATTCTTCTTATGTTAAATCTGTGAACTAGTTGACTGCTACTTTGTAAGTATGTGTTTTGTTAGCATTATGGAAGTTTATATTTTTAAGGTTTTTCAAAAATAATATCTGACGAAAACTAGCTTCTTCATGGTTGAAATAGCTTTTTTTATTCTCAAATTTCCATTTATTAAAAAGTATGAGATCATCAACTTTGATATTTTCAAGCTTGTTTTCACTTTTTAGAGATGTTAGCTAGCAAAAGCAGGTTAAACTCAATAAAGAGAATAGGATTAATTATGCTAATTTCATTTTTTTAGTTATTAGGTTTTTCTAATTTTATTATAAATAATATTTACTATAAGTTAGGCAAGCAAATGCAAGTATATAAAGATGTTGAAATAGATATTTACAGAAATAAAAAATTTTCAAATTAATGTCATTATTATTATTTATTTGTCTATGGTTTAAAATGGGTGTTTTGACTTTTAAAAATCACCTCAATTCCTAATTTTAATTAAGGAAAAAGATATGTTAGAATTTGTTAGCACTTTTAATGTTTCTAATTTTTAGGATGGACTATTTTATCATAAATAAATAACCTGATTTTTACCTTTAGTCCATTAAATACACATTTATGTTAAATTTTAATTAATTCAATTAGGAATATCAGAAAATATAAGTTTTTACAGATTTTTTGATAAGCTTCTAATTTATAAAGACTATCAATATTATCCATTAAATATAACTTATTTTATGATTAAGTGAACATCTTATATTTATTACCTGAATCTGAATTAATTTAGGTATTCGAAATAAAATTCTATAAGCAAACCAATCTATCAATTTATAATTAATTTAAATTAATACGCATTAATATTATGAAAAAAATATGAAATTTATTTTTTTGTAATCATCGTTTAAAAGTGAGTTTTTTTGATATTTTTTGCTATAAAACTTGATTCCATTTATGAAATAAAACAAGATCGAATCTAATTAAAGTTCATTTAAAAATAACAACATATTTACAAAAATTGAAATAGTATAAAAATAAATAGTAAAATTATAAATAGCATAATTTAGAATTAAATGTTAATATATTTTGATTTATGGTTAAGGATTTTAATTTTCTATAATCTTTGTAAAGTAAGTAAAATGAGATATTCTTCATAATAAATATATATGGTTATTATTAAATCAATATTTTTGTGGTTAAATTTTATTATTTTAGAATATTATTAATAACGATAATTATTAAGTAAATTTGTTAATTAGTCCATGAATTGACCAAATAAAACTAAATTGACGAAAGAGAGGAAAAATAAAAATTTGATGAGTTGCGTTAATAATAAAGGATGGTTATGTTGTCTGGATTACAGATAAAAAATATACCTTGAATATAATTGATATTTAATTAATTTGAGGGAATTTATATTTGAACTTATTGATGCTTTAATATTTTTTTAAGCAAATATGTCTAAATAAAATTAATTCTTCTTATTTCCTCTCTTAATATTGACCAATATTTACAAAATATGAATACTGATAGTCATTTTTGTTTTACTTGTATAATAATCCAAGAATTTTTCTAATGAAAGGAATTTTATTAACTAAAATATCTAAAGCTGAATTAATAATTAAAATCTGGCAAACTTGGATTTACTTTTGTATATATGAAATTACACTAATTTGATCAACCAGAATTAATTGCAAAATACACTTAGATATTTTGTGATGTTAAAAAATGGAGCATTTAAAGTTATTTATAAAATATTTATTTTAAAATATTTTTAAACCCATTAAATGTGGGAAATTTAGAACAAAATTTGAAAAATTGAGAATATTTAAATTATTCTATTCTATTTTTTTCAATAACATTTTCATATCTTTGGTATGAATTTTATACTGCTTTAGGTTTTGAAAGTAGATTTACACAAAATAATAATTGACCAAAAATCAAATTAACAAACAAGGTGCAAATTAATTTAATTTTTGTCGGTCAATTTACATTTTATTGTATTTCCGACTAAAAAAGTTAATTACTGAATTTGATAACTTGATATAATTTACCTGAAATGATAAGAATTGAATCCTGATCCTGAAATCAATAATAAACATTTGTATTTTTTTATAGCACTGCGAAATATTAATAATTTTTAAAAAATAAATTGTTGATTAAATCATAAATATTTTTTAATAAATAGCATTTATAAAATGAAATATAAAATATATCTTAAAATTCATATTCTTTTTAATATACAAACAAAACTTTGGTTTTTATTTTATTTATTGATAACTTCAGAATTTTTTAATATAGCGCTTCCAGATATTAAATTCTTATGGATATGGAAAAGTAAGAATTTAATTCATGGATTTGCTATAATAAAATAAATGAATTAAATAAATAATTAATTTTATTTTAATTATTGATATTAAATATTTAATTAATTTATAATAAAATTATATTTTGTAATATAATAAATATACTTAATTATTTTAAAAGAAAATATTAATTATTTAATAATTAAATATTAATTAAACATTTTCTATTTTGTAAAAATTCGGCCGTTGATTAATGAGGACTTACAGTATTTTAATTCAAATTCGCCTCATTACTGGACTAAAATAAAAAATCTAAAATATTTAAATTATTTAATCAAATTTAAGTACTTAAACTCATTACATGAGCTTTTTCAACATATCGCTATGCAACTGTCTTTGATTCTTGTTATATTTTTAAATAGAAATATTAAGATTTAATAAAAAATGTTACACTAGCTTCTATTGTGATATCTCTTTGAAAAAGCAAATTTATAAATTTGTATTTGATAATAATTATTATTATTATTATTATTTATTTGTTCTTTTAATCCAAATTAATTTGTTTTAAAGGTGAATTAATTTATTAATATACTAATAATTAATTAAATTTTTACAAATTACTATTCAATAATTTATTTTGAAGAAGAAGAAGAAAAAAATAAATGATTTAAAAGAAAGAATCATTTTATAATCTAAAAAAAGTAAATATTTATTTTTTATTAATATCCTTAAAATTTATTTTTATTAATAAAAATAGTTTTTAAAGTCTTCATATTAATCTCATTAGGTTCTTTATATTAATTTGGAAAAGAGGTATATTTAATTTATTAAAATTATTATTATTATTATTTTATATTTTCATGAGTATTATTTTCTAATAGATTTATCATCAATATTCATTCATTTTATTTTAACTTAATTTTCACTTAATTTTTAATTTTTATGAATTTATTTTTTCCTTAAAAGTAACATACTCTACATTTTTTATTAATTAGTTAAAAATTGCAGATTAATTGGATTTATATTGTTTTTTTTTTTCTACTTGCTATTATTTTCTTACTCTATTAGTTTAACTTTTAATTTTGAATATTTGATTTTATTATTAATTAATTAATTAATTTATTTTTATTTTATCATATTTTTCTTCTAATTAACTGTATATATTTTCTTCAATATTTAAAAAGGTCTCCATAATCCTTATGTTCTCTTTTAGGAAAGTTGCTTAATCTCTTTAAAATTACACATAATCAGTAAAAATAATTTTTTTGTTTTAAATTTTGATGCTTTTTAATATAAAAATGAATTTAAAGCAATTTAGCTAGCTAACTCTTTTAATTTATTTATTTATTAGCTCTATATTTGATTTATTTTTCTTTTTTTATTCTGCTTGTGTTTTTTTCCTTTGTTTTTTATTTGCTAATTTAATTCATTTTTTTATTTTCAACTTTAACTTTAATTCATTATTTAATTGATTGCCTATTATTTTATATTTTTTCTTAATTTTTTCTATCAAACTAACTAATTAACAATATTTTATCTTCAAAATTTAAAAAGAGAAAATTAAATTGGTGATAGAATAGAATAGAAATACTCGCACATATAAACATGCACTCAGAATACAACTTAAATATAAAATTAAATTAAATTATATTATATTATTTATATATATATATATATATTTTTTTTTTATCGTTATTTGTGTTTATTTATTATTGTTATTATTTACCACATAAAATTGGTGACATACATACATACATACTCGCACATGGTGACATGCACTCGGGATAGGGGCCCTATATATAATTACTTATACATTATTATTATACGTATACCAATTTATTTATATATAATTGTGGGTAATATATTAGAAGGGAAGGGTCACCTACACCCTAATGGCATTTCTACTAATCTTCCATGATTTGACTACGCATTATGCTCGCTTCCCATTTGTATTCCAGATCTTCTGTTCAGAATGGGGCCTCCTCTTTACCACCTATCAGATTTGGCCCTTCCCTCCTACCAAGGAGACCAAAATTGGTGACGAAGGTGCATCAGGCTTAGGTTCTGGTTTAGGAAAGTGCACTAATCTCTCTAATTTGACACTTTATCTTAGGTATAAACAGTTTACTTGTTGATTGCGATTTTTTTAAATATAAAAATGAATATAAAACAATTTAGCTAGCTAACTCTTTTAATTTATTTATTTATTTATTAGCTCTATATTTGATTTCTTTTTCTTTTTTTATTCTGCTTGTGTTTTTTTCCTTTGTTTTTATTTGTTAATTTAATTCATTTTTTTATTTTCAATTTTAACTTGAATTAATTATTTAATTCATTACTTATTATTTTATATTTTTTTTTAATTTTTTCCTTCTAACTAACTAATTAACAATATTTTGTCTGTCTTCAAAATTTAAAAAGTTACAATAAAATTGGTGACGAAGGTGCATCAGGCTTAGGTTCTGGTTTAGGAAAGTGCACTAATCTCTCTAATTTGACACTTTATCTTGAGTATAAACAGTTTACTTGTTGATTGCGATTTTTTTAAATATAAAAATGAATATAAAACAATTTAGCTAGCTAACTCTTTTAATTTATTTATTTATTTATTAGCTCTATATTTGATTTCTTTTTCTTTTTTTATTCTGCTTGTGTTTTTTTCCTTTGTTTTTATTTGTTAATTTAATTCATTTTTTTATTTTCAATTTTAACTTGAATTAATTATTTAATTCATCACTTATTATTTTATATTTATTCTTAATTTTTTCCTTCGAACTAACTAATTAACAATATTTTGTCTGTCTTCAAAATTTAAAAAGAGATAATTAAATTGGTGACGAAGGTGCATCAGGCTTAGGTTCTGGTTTAGGAAAGTGCACTAATCTCTCTAATTTGACACTTGATCTTGAGTATAAACAGTTTACTTGTTGATTGCGATTTTTTTAAATATAAAAATGAATATAAAACAATTTAGCAAGCTAACTCTTTTAATTTATTTATTTATTTATTAGCTCTATATTTGATTTCTTTTTCTTTTTTTATTCTGCTTGTGTTTTTTTCCTTTGTTTTTATTTGTTAATTTAATTCATTTTTTTATTTTCAATTTTAACTTGAATTAATTATTTAATTCATCACTTATTATTTTATATTTTTTCTTAATTTTTTCCTTCGAACTAACTAATTAACAATATTTTGTCTGTCTTCAAAATTTAAAAAGAGATAATTAAATTGGTGACGAAGGTGCATCAGGCTTAGGAAAGTGCACTAATCTCTCTAATTTGACACTTTATCTTAGGTATAAACAGTTTACTTGTTGATTGCGATTTTTTTTAATATAAAAATGAATATAAAACAATTTAGCTAGCTAACTCTTTTAATTTATTTATTTATTAGCTTTATATTTGATTTCTTTTTCTTTTTTTTATTCTGTCTTTTTTATTTATTGATTTAAAAAATATTATTTTATTTAAAAATTTAATTGTATTTATTTTTTTAAGTTATTTACACTAATTTATATTAAAAGATAAAACAAAATGAATAGTTTATAATAATTGAAAGCAAAGTGTCATAAATCAAATAGATTAGTTGTCTTAAAATTTAACTTTATTTGATCATAAAGTTGTGAAAAAACGAAAAAAAAAAATAAATATATTTGAATAGTATAACAGAATATGTTTTATTTTATAATTTTGTAATTGCATAATTTAATCTAAAATATAGATAGATTTATTACTTTTTTAATGATAAGTCAACATAATTAGACACCCCAGTCCAATCTACAAAAATTTTTTTACAATACCCTATTTATAAAAATAAATTATCTTGAAAATAATTTATATTCTGTCTAAGTTGATTGCAGTAAAAATATAAAAACTCTATATATATTTTAATAATACACAAAGAAATCGGTTTGAATTTATGTAGTTACTAACATTAAAAAACAATAATATTAATCATTTTAATTATTGGTTTTATTGAAAATTAAATTATGACATTAAATCTTTTTGATTTTTACGAAAATGAAATTAAATAAAAAAAATATACTTATTATACAATTTCAATATTAATCTTTTTTATATATTGTAAATAAATTCAATATATGTTTAATTTAACTAATCTTTTTATTTTTTAAGCTAACCTTTTGATTTCTGTTTTTCTTTTTTCAAGCAAATCTCTTTTAATAAATATAAATTTATTTTTTAGATAGATACTAAAAGTATTTAATTTTAAACAAAATTAAGTAAATACTTTATAGGTAGATTCAAAAATTTTATATTTTTACAATTGATCACTTCACTAGACTTTAGAAACTTCTCAATATCACTTAAAAAATAAAAATATTTTAAATAAAATCTTAAAAACTTTTATATAATTTTTTTTCAAAAATAATTAATGAAATTTACTCTGATCTAAAAGCTAGATTTATAAGTTAAGCGCAGTTACTCAAACATAATCCAATATTTTAAGCTCCTTTATCACCAATTTTATTTCCCCTTTTCAAAAAAAAAAACAATTTATAAACTACTTAAATTTGTTTTGACATTTAAATCAAAATATACAAATAATTCAAACTTTTTTAGTTATCAACAAATAAATATAAAATTATTTTACTAAATTTAAAAGTTGAGATTAGTAAGTAATTTGCAGTTACCAAGAGCTACACCAATAGTAGTAGCTCCATCATCCCCAATTTAATTTTAGCTTTAATAAATGAAAATTACATTAAATTAAAGCTTGAAGACATTTTATAAATTTAAAGTTTTTTTAATTCAGTTTAAATAAAAAACTTTACCATAGTTTTTTTTAAATGTATTAATGAATATATTTACTTTATCCCAAATTTTAAATTTGTAAGTTGAGTACAGTTACTTAAACCTAATCCAATATTTTAAGCTCCTTTATCACCAATTTTATTTCCCCTTTTCAAACAAAAAAAATAAATTGATAAACTACTTAAATTTGTTTTGACATTTAAATCAAAATATACAAATAATTCAAAGTTTTTTAGTTATCAATAAATAAATATAAAATTATTTTACCAAATTTAAAACTTGAGATTAGTAAGTAATTTGCAGTTACCAAGAGCTGCACCAATAGTAGTAGCTCCATCATCCCCAATTTAATTTTCGCTTTAATAAATGAAAATCACATTAAATTAAAGCTTGAAGACATTTTATAAATTTAAAGTTTTTTTAATTCAGTTTGAATAAAAAACTTTACCATAATTTTTTTAAAAGTATTAATGAATATATTTACCTAATATCAAATTATAAATTTGTAAGTTGAGTACAGTTACTCAAACCTAATCCAATATTTTAAGCTCCTTTATCACCAATTTTATTTCCCCTTTTCAAACAAAAAAAATAAATTGATAAACTACTTAAATTTGTTTTGACATTTAAATCAAAATATACAAATAATTCAAAGTTTTTTAGTTATCAACAAATAAATATAAAATTATTTTACCAAATTGAAAACTTGAGATTAGTAAGTAATTTGCAGTTACCAAGAGCTGCACCAATAGTAGTAGCTCCATCATTCCCAATTTAATTTTCGCTTTAATAAATGGAAATCACATTAAATTAAAGCTTGAAGACATTTTATAAATTTAAAGTTTTTTTAATTCAGTTTGAATAAAAAACTTTACCATAATTTTTTTAAAAGTATTAATGAATATATTTACCTAATACCAAATTATAAATTTGTAAGTTGAGTACAGTTACTCAAACCTAATCCAATATTTTAAGCTCCTTTATCACCTATTTTATTTCGCCTTTTCAAACAAAAAAAATAAATTGATAAACTACTTAAATTTGTTTTGATATTTAAATCAAAATTTGTAGAATAATTCAAACTTTTTTAAGTAATGAAAATAAATAATTAATTCATTTTACCCAATATTAAAATAGAGATTAGTAAGTAATTTGCAGTTACCAAGAGCTGCACCAATAGTAGTAGCTCCATCATCCCCAATTTAATTTTCGCTTTAATAAATGAAAATCACATTAAATTAAAGCTTGAAGACATTTTATAAATTTAAAGTTTTTTTAATTCAGTTTGAATAAAAAACTTTACCATAATTTTTTTAAAAGTATTAATGAATATATTTACCTAATACCAAATTCTAAATTTGTAAGTTGAGTACAGTTACTCAAACCTAATCCAATATTTTAAGCTCCTTTATCACCGATTTTATTTCGCCTTTTCAAACAAAAAAAATAAATTGATAAACTACTTAAATTTGTTTTGATATTTAAATCAAAATTTGTAGAATAATTCAAACTTTTTTAAGTAATGAAAATAAATAATTAATTCATTTTACCCAATCTTAAAATAGAGATTAGTAAGTAATTTGCAGTTACCAAGAGCTGCACCAATAGTAGTAGCTCCATCATCCCCAATTTAATTTTCGCTTTAATAAATGAAAATCACATTAAATTAAAGCTTGAAGACATTTTATAAATTTAAAGTTTTTTTAATTCAGTTTGAATAAAAAACTTTACCATAATTTTTTTAAAAGTATTAATGAATATATTTACCTAATACCAAATTCTAAATTTGTAAGTTGAGTACAGTTACTTAAACCTAATCCAATATTTTAAGCTCCTTTATCACCGATTTTATTTCCCCTTTTCAAACAAAAAAAATAAATTGATAAACTACTTAAATTTGTTTTGATATTTAAATCAAAATTTGTAGAATAATTCAAACTTTTTTAAGTAATGAAAATAAATATATAATAATTTTACCAAAATTCAAAATAGAGATTAGTAAGTAATTTGCAGTTACCAAGAGCTGCACCAATAGTAGTAGCTCCATCATCCCCAATTTAATTTTTGCTTTAATAAATGCAAATAATGTTTAATTAAAAATTTAATGTTTTTTTATTCAATTTAAATAAAAAGCTTTGACATAATTTTTTTAAAAGTTGTAAAAGGAATAAATTTACCTTATATTAAAATATAAATTTGTAAGTTGAGTGCAGTTACTCATACCTAATCCAATATTTTATGCT